TTTACGGCAGAGTGGGGAGAACGCTGGGCTGGGAGCTGCTGTTCTGTGTCCCTGAGCAAATGACCCAACCCCTCTGGACCCTGGTCCCCTGCTTGTCAAATGATGATAGATTGTATGGTCCACTGAGCTCCAATATGCTACCATCTTAGTGGTCCTGGTTGCCACATCTGGGACAGCCTCTGCTTCTCATGTAAGAGGGAGCCTGCAGGGAAGGAGAGATGGGGCCTTCTGTGGACCAGCCCTGACTGCTTGGGGAACCAGAGGAAGCTAGCAGGGTGCTCGCCAAGCCCTGGACCCTGCCAGCATCAGCCATGACATGATCTACTCCACCCAAGGCCAAGCCTGCTCCTTCCCTCTCCCACAAGGACTTGCAGTCTGTTGGGAAACGGGGAAACACAGTAGACACACGTGCCAGGACACAGCAAATAAAGGGGCACAGATTCATATTCTTTGCGGTTGGGGTATGAATAGAGGTGTCGCCTGAGTAGGGATGAGAGTCAGGAATGGCTTCCTAGAAGAGGGGCCTAGGAGCACCCAGTACAGTGCCTAGTAGTGAGTAGGTGCTCAATAAATATTTGTTTAATGAAGATCCAGGAAGGGAGGCCTACTGCTTCATAAATGAGAGATGATGATGATGATGGTGATGATGGTGGTGATGGTGGTGGTGGCGGTGGTGATGATGATGATGGTGGGGTTGATGGTGATGATGATAACGACTAACATTTATTAAGCATTTAATTTTGTGCTAAGTGCTGCTCTCTAAGTTTCACATGTACTCATTTAATCCTGACAACAATTTTATAGGATAGGTATTATTATAATCCCCATTTTACAGGTATGCAACCTCAGTGCAAAGTGAGGTACAGAGAGGTTAAGTCATTTGCCCAAAGTTTCACAGCTTGTAAATGACAGAAGGGGAATGCAAGCCCACACTGCCTGTCTCTTCACAAGGTTACCATACTGCCTGAAGGGGACGGTGACGGAACAACCCTTCAGAGGCTGAACGGAGCTTGGGCGATGTAGGGGAGACACAAGCGTCAGTTTTCAGGTTGTCAGGGCTGGAGTGGTTGGTGGAGAAGCTTGGACTGCAGGGGAGAGGGGCTGTGTGGTCTCCAAGAGTCTCCCCTCCTGCTGTGTGCCCTTCTCCTGGGGCATCCAGAGGGGGCTTGCGGTCCGCCTCTTCCTGCGCAGACGAGGGCCCTCTTCCCGAGTTCCTGCCCCCATCCAGTCCTTTCTCTCCCTTTCAGTGGTAAGCCCTGCTCCCGCATTGACTGGAGCACCCTGACCCTGCCTGTCAGAGTCACCAGGGGTCTTCCCCTTTTCTGAAAACCTCCCAACCTACCCAATGTAAAGATCGAGGGACATTCTCCACGCTCTGCATCCTCGGACAAAGACAGGCCGCCCCGAGCCAGAAGATTGGGTTCTGGGTGCCTAAGCCTGGGGTGGAAGGGAGGAGTAAGGGAAGGTCTTCAGACCTTGCCAGTCTTCCCAGCCCCTTCCAGTTCCAGAACTCTGGGATCCCCATGCTCAGTGACCCCAAACCCCATATTCCAAGAGCTCCCTTATGCCCACCCCCAGGGCCACCTCCCCTGGCCCTGCTAGCAACAGTGGGCTGTGGGCAGAGAGGCCAACATCAAAACAAGTCTGCCTGCTCCTTAGAGGTCCTCCCGCCCCGCACTTCCATCACTGGGCCAAAAGGGGCAGCGACCTGGTGGACCCGCTTTTTGGGCATTGAGGGGGCACCCCAGCCGCTTTCCTCCCTGCCCTGCCGGGGGGGTGCTTCTGGGAGAGCCACACCGAGAGGAGAGAGCAGCCTTAACCCCAAAACAGACATGGGGTGGGGAGGGCCACCTCTGTCTGGTGAGCGCTGAGGGATGAGGGGGGCCTCTGGGGGGCCTGAGCCCCTGTAGTGCCCTCCCCACCCCACGCCCAGGCCACTATCAGTGATCTCCCCTCCTGGCACTCACAGCCCTGAAGGGTGAGGTCACTGCTGAAGACACGGCCAATGAATGTCAGCCTGTGTGCCAGCCACTGAACCCTGCCTGTCCCTACACCTGCGGGGGGATGAGAGAAGATGGGGTCGCTTGGTGGGCCGGGTCCCACTGTAGGCCCCACCATGCCCTGGCACCAATCCTGAGGTGGTTCCTGGTGCCCACACCACTACCCCCACCTGTGGCCCAAGCCCTCCCAACTGGCTTTTCCTGTTCCTGGCTTTCTGTGGTGAAAGTTCCCCAATTACCCACATTATCTCAGCTGCTGGGCAGCCTCCAGCAGGCTTGGTGAGTGGAGGTTGGGGGGTGGGGAGCGAGCACCCACTTATCCTGCCGGGAGGGCCAAGGGCTTAGCTACTTGCCAACTGGCCAGTCAGCAGGACTCCTGGGCTGTCTGGCCCACTGACCTCATCGTGGGACTGTATCTGGGGTGAGGCCACAGCTGGGCTGGGCTGCAGTTCAGGGAATCAGACAGTTAGGGCCAGAAGGGACCATTGAGACTGGGGAGTCCAGCTTGCTCCCTGAGAGGAGGAAAATGGGGCCGAAGAGGGGGAAGGCCAGGGTCCCAAGGCAAGCTCAAGAGAGAGCCGGGCTAGATCCCAGCCCTCCTGACTCCCTGGTGGGCGCTTCCTCCATTGTGCTCCCACCAGCCCACAGTGCTCTCTGCCAGGGGCCATGTCAGAACCCCACAGACCAGCCGAGGGGACAACTGGAGGCTCAGTGGTGGGGACACCCCAGGTGGGCCTTGAAGGGCTGTGTGGATGTGAATAGGCTTAGAGAACGGAGGAGCATCAGGGAAGCTTTTAGAGCACAGCAAGGGCCTGGCTTGGAGAGGCCAAAGCTGTATTTACTCAGCAAGCATTTCTTGAGTACCTACTGTATACCAGACACAGGATGCTGCAGTGACCTAGAGAGACCTGGCCTGTACCTCTTGAGGGGAGAGAGGGGCAGCACACTTCACTGGCCAGGGTCTTTAGGGCCCTCTGAGGAGTGTGCCCTCTCCGTGTCTCCATCATGCAGAGGCAACTGTAAGCCCCAGTTCCCACTCTTGAATCCAAGACTCCCTTGGGGGACCATTTAGGCCATCCACCTGCCTCTGGGTCTGTACAGGGCCTGGAGTTGATATGATTGATGGCCTCAGTAACAGAGTGAAGTAAGGATGCAAAGACGTGCCATGTACAGATGCACGGCCAGTGGCAGAGCTCAGGAACCAGGTCGGGCAGAGAGAGCTGAAGACGCCCACTGGAGGGGATGGCTGCCCCAAGTTAAGGGGCTGAGCCAAGTTCAGGGTTAAGGAAAGGCTCAAACGAAAGCCGTTCTAGATGGAATAAAATAATCGGTGGGAAGACTAGAGGGAATTCATTCATTCATTTGACGCCACTGATCACTCCCTCCTTCTCGCAAATCTCCACAGTCACGGCTCCCCTTCCAATTTGTCTGGCAACAGATATTGACTGAGCACCCACTGTGTGCCAGAGGCTGGGCTGGGCACTGGGGCTGCAGTGATGGAAGACACAGGTCCTGCCCTGGAGGAGGTCACAGTCTGGTGGAGAAGTCAGAGATGTGAACAACCACATTCCAAGGCAGAAGAGAGCTGTAATAGAGGTGGCCAGACTGACACTGGCTGGGAGGACCATGGATGCTTCCCAAAGGAGATGGCCAGTGGGATATCCATAGGTGGAGAAGGGGAAGGGCCTTCTAGGGCATTGCACAAGCAAGAGTCTAGAAGTGTTGCATCAAGAGGCTCTGTGCTCCTTGGGGGCTGGGACTGAATAGCTCGTTGATATGACTCAAGTACTGATAATAAATAGACTCAGCAAATGGTGGTTGAATAAATGGGAGCAGGGAGGGAGGAAGGAAACATGGAAACATGGCATGTTCTGAGGAGGGGCCCAGTCTGACGGGGTCGGAACACATCGTGCATGGAGAGATGTGGACAAAAAGGCAGATGACAAGGACGTCGAATGCCAAGCTAAGACATTTAGACTTGATTGTGAAGCCAACCAGGAGCCAGAGGCCAAGCCTTGTGCAGTGCCTGCTCCTCTCTGCCTGGCTGGGTAAGAGGGACCGAGCCAGTGCACCCTGGGGCATGGGACTCAGCGTGAGGGAGCAGGCAGTCGCGTGGCCATAATGACGGCCACTGTGGGCCCTGTGCTCACCCAGCGCTCCCTGCCTCCCAACACACGTTCTCATCCATCATACCATCTGGTTCTCCTAGCAACCCTGTGAAGTAGAGAGGACTGGATTATCCACCCCATTTATCAGACGAGGGAACCGAGGCTCAGCAAGGTGAAGCAGCTGGTGGCTCCTAGGCCGGGGCTCTACTCAAAAAACAGTGCCTTCAGGGGCCAGCCCGGTGGCGCAAGCGGTTGGGTGCGCGCGCTCAGCTGCGGCGGCCCGGGGTTCGCTGGTTCGGATCCCGGGCGCGCACCGATGCACTGCTTTGGCAAGCCATGCTGTGGCGGCGTCCCATATAAAGTGGAGGAGGATGGGCACGGATGTTAGCCCAGGGCCGTCTTCCTCGGCAAAAAAAGAGGAGGATTGGCGGATGTTAGCACAGGGCTGATCTCCTCACAAAAAAAAAAAACAGTGCCTTCAACCCTCGTCATCAAAAATGAGGGTGTAGATGTATATTTCCTGCCATGGAAGAGTATTGATAATCTATCACCAAGTGAAAAGGCAGCTTATGGAACAATATGTACAGTATGATTCTGATTTTATAAAAAAAAAAAAATAGATGGTTACATAGACATACAGAGAAAAAAAGTAAGAGGGTATTTTCTACAAGATTATTAGTGATATTTCTGAGTGATGGGATCATGGGTTGTGGTCATTTTCTTCTCGATGTTTTTCAGAATTGCCCAGAGTGTTTTTATAACAAGAAATTATCATTTTTATAATCAGAATAAAAAGAATAATAACTGCTAGAAAAGGAAAGACCAGCACACAAGGGGCTCAGGCAGGGGCTATGCCTGTCGCTGACCGCTCCCTGCCCTCTCCCTCGACCAGGCTCCCACACCCAGGTGGTCCAAGTGAACGACTCCATGTATGGTTTCATTGGCACGGATGTGGTGCTGCACTGCAGCTTCGCCAACCTGCTGCCCGGCGTGAAGATCACCCAGGTCACGTGGCAGAAGTCCACCAATGGCTCCAAGCAGAACGTGGCCCTCTACAACCCAGCCATGGGCGTCTCCGTGCTGGCTCCCTACCGCGAGCGTGTGGAATTCCTGCGGCCCTCCTTCACTGACGGCACCATCCGCCTCTCCCGCCTGGAGCTGGAGGATGAGGGTGTCTATATCTGCGAGTTTGCCACCTTCCCAGCTGGCAATCGAGAGAGCCAGCTCAATCTCACTGTGATGGGTAAGCTGGCCTGACCCTTCCCTCCCTGCTCGTACAAAGGCCTGGGGCCTGGGGCCTTGGCCATCCTCGGTGTGTGTCTCAAGGGCCCCATTCTCCTTGAGTTGTCATGCTCCCAAAGGAGCATGGCATGGCACTTCCTGTCCCTTCTAGCCAGGTTGTCACACAGTTCACTAGGGATTGGGGGCAGGGCCTTAGCTGTGGACAGGGCTGAGGATCGGTATTCGGGTTGGAGCTCCACCATGGGGCACTTTGTGGATGGCCAGGAAGCAGGCAGAACCATCAGACACCATAGTAAGGAAGAGAGCTGCTTGCCTTGAGCATGCCAAGACTCCAAGAAGGCCACCACTTGACAGAAGGGGATACAAATAGAGCAGGAGGACGTGGGTTAGACATGAAGACGTCCCTTTGAGAAGTGCTGGGAGGGGCATTGGTAAGGCCCAGCTGAGAGGCAAAGATGACCAAGGTGACCTGCAGAAAGTCCTGGGGGGTACATATCCTCCTGGGCCTGTGCGTCTTTGACAAGGCAGTAGAGCCAGTCCCATGGCTCTCTCTGGTTCCCTGCAGCCAAACCCACCAACTGGATAGAGGGCACCCAAGCAGTGCTTCGAGCCAAGAAGGGGCAGGAAGACAAGGTCCTGGTGGCCACCTGCACCTCGGCCAATGGGAAGCCTCCCAGTGTGGTATCCTGGGAAACTCGGCTGAAGGGCGAGGCAGAGTACCAGGAGATTCGGAACCCCAACGGCACGGTGACGGTCATCAGCCGCTACCGCCTGGTGCCCAGCCGGGAGGCCCACCAGCAGTCCCTGGCCTGCATCGTCAACTACCACATGGACCGCTTCCGGGAAAGCCTCACCCTCAACGTGCAGTGTGAGCCGGGCCTCCTGGGGCGGGCGCCGCTGTCCCCACCACTCTACCCTCGCCAGCCCTCCTTCCTCCTCTGCTTCTCCGATCCTGTCACTCTCCCCACCCCTTCCTTCTCACACCCCCTCTCTCCTTCCTCCCTTTCTCTTTCTGGGGGTGCTTTGTCCTCCCCTCCGCCATCTCCTCCCTTTGCTCATTCTCTCTCCTTCTTCATTCCCCTTGCTGCTTCTGCTCTGAGGGTCAGTGATCACCACCCTCCCTTTCATCTTCCCTCTCTTCTGGCTCTTTCCATGCCACCGCCCCTTCCATCCCTTCACTGTCTGAGGATCCCTTGTCCCAAGTCTTGCTCTCCTGGCCTCACCCTTTTCAAACATCATCCCTTGCCCCACAGATGAGCCCGAGGTGACCATCAAGGGATTTGATGGGAACTGGTACCTGCAGCGGATGGATGTGAAGCTCACATGCAAAGCTGATGCTAACCCCCCAGCCACCGAGTACCGCTGGACCACGTAAGTCCTGTGGGGCTGGCTGGTCACCTTGCGAGGTGCCTCGCTGATCACAGGGAGGCCCACCCACCCCTCCACCAGCAGCCTTGGGCAGGGAAGAAATTAAGGTCTAGGCTCAGGTTTCTCGATGAGAAGGGGAGGGTTCACAAGAGACCCCCACACCCAGACACCCCCATGTTTGACAGCATCAGGGTCAGTAGGACAAACCATTCTGCCAGAGGAGGCTTCCCTCGTGATCTGCCTGCCTTCTTCTCCCTAAATAAAGAATTTTGTCGTTTTCCTTTGGTGATTCAGTCTGAGTCACTCCCACCCCAGCCCCCAGTATTTATTTTTATCGAGGTGTCCCCAGGGAAGCTGGCTTTCTGGAGCATCCCAGATCTTTCTTTGTTCCTATTCCTTCTCTCCAGCACCCCCAGATTCTCAGGAAGAAGGCAGCAGTCAGCCCAGAATGCCTGTGTTCCTGGCGCGCTCGCCCCACATCTCATCATCCCATTCTTGGCTTCATGGTCTTTGGGCCTGGCCCTCAAAGGGTCCACTCTCCCCCTGTAGCCAGCTCTGATGGCCTGAGCCAAGGTTCTTCTCAGAGAAGAGCTAGATAGAACACACAGAAAGACAGAGTGTGGTGGAAGCCAAGAAGAAGGTTGACGTGGATGGCCAGAAGACAGCTGCCCAGGAAGTAGAGGCACACCCTAGGTGTTTATCACCCTCCACTTCTTAGAACCAGAAGTGCTTCTGAAGGTGTGAGTGGGCGGGGCCTGCTTGCCACTTTTAGTTCTGTGGACCAAGGAGCTTCTGGGTCCAACAGAATAATAGCTTTGTAGCATCAGGGATCAGGAGGAAGAAGGTCCCCTGTATTCAGGAAACTTCCAGGATGCCCCCCACGTGAAAAAGGCCTGTAACATGCCCAGCGATAAAATGAGATAGTGAAATGGAACACAATGCTAAACGTGGGTCACATCTCCTTACCTGAGAAGCTTGTTAAAATACAGATTTCCAGGCCATGGCCTCAGGGTTCAGCTTCAGTAGATCTGGAGTGAGGACCCAGACATCTGCGTTATTAACCAGCCACCGAGGAAACCGAGGACCAACTACCAGAACCAGGAGTAGTAGAAAGAGCACTGTGCCAGGAGTCCAAAGATCTGGCTAGAGCTCCAATTCTGTCGCTTACTAGGTGTCTTTCCTTGACTTTGAACCCCAAGTTCCTCATCTGTTAAGTGGGACTGGTGTCTGCCTCTCATGTCTACATTTCAGTGCTGTGATGGTCAAATGTGAAATGCTGAGTAATATAAAACCGCCAAATACAGGAGATTATTGTTGCAGTAGTTGTTTTTACTCCTTCTAAGACAAACCCTGCCATTAACTCAGCAAAAGGGCTGGTGGTCTTGGAGGCAGATGGGTGACAGAGGGGCAGCTTCTTGGGGCTGGAGTGTCATAACCCTCTGCCATGTCTCCCAATCCCTGCAGGCTAAACGGCTCTCTCCCCAAGGGTGTGGAAGCCCAGAACAGAACCCTCTTCTTCCGGGGACCTATCAACTATAGCCTGGCAGGGACCTACATCTGTGAGGCCACCAATGCCATTGGCACCCGCTCGGGCCAAGTGGAGGTCAACATCACAGGTAGGAAGCTGCACCCTTCCCTGCCTCTCCCTGCCCACTGCTTCCTCCACTGCCGGCATCCCCACCTTTGGGTTGTGTCATTGTGGGAAGTCTGTGTCTCCTCTTCCTGCTCCTCTGGTTCTCCCTGGGCTCTGGCCATTGGTCTTACTTTGCTTTTCTCTTTCCTCTGTAAAGGCTGTGTGTGAGACAAGGTGACCCCAATCAGAGAGGGGCAAGGGGAGGCTGTTACAGCAGTGCTGTAGGGGGGAGTGGGTGCTTAGAGCCTGCCCATGGGTCTGCCAACAGAATGCACCATGGGATGCTGGCCTGGTGGGGGTGGTTTTGCAGCTGGAGCTCATCTCCTGCAAGCTTTGCTCCTGCAGTTCAGGAAACCCACATGGGCTGGAAGGCGAGGCTTACCTCAGGCAGGAATACTGGAGGAAAAGCAAGGATACAGCCCAAAGCCATCGCGGTGTGTGTGCCCTGTGACTGCATCAATCTTTTACCCACATTTTTCGCTCTGTCAGTACAGACGAGGAGATTCAGCCACCTGACCGCTCAGGGCAAAGGGAGCTCAGGGGCTGGGGTGTTCTGGGGGGCACTTCACATGGGACGTGGACAGAGCATGGGCTTCAATGTCAGACAACTGGGACCCTGGACAAGCCCTCATCTGCAAAATGGGGATAGTGTGACATGCCTTGAAGGTTTCTTGTCAGGATTTACACAATGTAGGCCAAGTACCTGGCACAGACCAGTCTGTCAATAAATGGCCCATGTGCTGTGGTTATTATCTTGACCTCTATCATTACCATTATTAATGGAAGGAGCAAGACAAGCCAATAGAGGGGTAAGTTGCCATCACAACCTCACAACTGGAAGAGGGAGAGTCTTTGACGTTGTACCTGAGCTAGTTGCGGGGTGAGAAAATGCCAGAAAGAGCCTCCTAGGACAGGAAGTGGTGTCATGCTACTGCTGAGAAGGACAGGAAGTGACATCAGAGGGTGCATGCTACATACAGGAAGTGACCTCAGGGAGACGTCGAGCGGGGCTCAGGGATACAGGCAGTTGGGCGGTGGTTCCTGGGCTCCAGGCGCAGGGCCTGGGGAAGCCCTGAGGATCCCTTAGCTCTGAGCCCATATCTCAGAAGTGGGAGACCTCATTTCTGGGTACGTTCAAGACACAGCCGCAGGAAGAGCAGCCCGAGGCTGTCCAGGGGCCATACCTCCCTATCCCTGGGGTGGATCTGTCACCTCTCTCACTAGGGGTCAGGGGAGGGTGGAGTCACTTGTTGCTTGCTGTTTTCTCAACTCCCGGCCCTTGGCTCTCAGACTGGTTAAGGTAGTAGAAATGTCAGAGGTGGAGCCTGGGGAAAGCTGAGGCAGCCCCTCCCCCAGGCTTGTGTCTGGGGGTTCCCATAGGTTGGCAAGGATGGGAGGGCCAGAATCACACAGTTCTCCCCTCCTGGAGGAAGTCTGAGCAAAGCTCAGTAAGAGTCTCATAGGTGCCTGAGCTCTGGCCCTGGGCCCATGGGGCAGACAAGAGTGAGGAGTATCATAAGGGAGCATGACCGCCCCGCAGAGAGGCCTGTCAGATGAGTGACAGCACAGACTTGGCCTGAGTGTGTTCACATACGCCTCTTCCTGGCTGTGTGGCCTTAAGCAAGTCCTTCACCTCTCTGAGCCTCAGCTTCCTAGTCTCTAATATGCAGACAATCACACTTATCGCGGGCTTCTTATGATCCCACCAAATCCATCTTCCACTGCCTGGCACACGGTGAGTACTCCCTGTGTGGTGATATCTTCCCCCAGTGGTGGACCACCAAGGCCACCACTGCATCCTCCTCCACCACTCAGGCTTTCTGGGGAAACTGCTGATTGGGAAATCAGGGGAGAAGGCCAAGAAATCCGGGAGCAGTGACCTCCTGTTGATCCTACTCCGCAGCATGAGTGGACCGGCCAGAGGCCCTGCTAGGCTTATGGGGCAAAGTGGTGCTGCCCGGCCCCAGAGGCAGGGCTGGAACGGGAAAGCCAGGGCCTCCCTCTCCCAAAGCTCAGGAGGGTGCAGGACGACCGTGAGTGCAGGGCGTCTCTTCCTGGAGTTGCACTGGGTCCTAGAGCAGGGAGGAAGGTAAGGGGGCACCCCCCAGGCTCAGGCACAGCAAAGAGAGGAAAGGAAGGAAGAGAAACCGGCTGTGGAGGGGGCCGTCTCCTCAGGGGTGGTTGCTGCAGTGACGGCCTCCATGGGATCTGTGGTCAGGCCTAGGTGGCCTTGTGGGCAGGTGGGCTGGGGCCACCCAGGGCTCTAGCTGGAAGAGGCACACGGCATGGCCTCGTGTGCTCCACGGAGATACGGAACGGGATGAGGGTGGTAACCAAAGACACACGGGTGGTGAGAAGGGCCTTGCATAAGAGGACTCTGCTGTTGACAGCCCAGTGAGGCAGGAACCAGGGAAGCGTGATGCTCACGGAATCATTGATGGGCCCAGGAGCTGTTTGCCTGGCCGTCCCAAGGGAAGGTCTCTCAGCCCCCTCAGGAGGACCCAGCCAGGCAGCCTGAGCCTCTTCAGAGCTGTTTGTTCTTGTGCTCACAGGCAATTTCCCAGCAGCATCTGGCCCCAGCAGCCTTCATCCCACATGGGCTGGTGCCTGTCATGTTCTCTGGGGGCCCACGCCGAGGAGCACAGCCTTGCCCTGTGCTCCAAGCCCCACTGGTCTGGAGGGAATGCATGAGCGAGGCGGATAAGTGGAAATTTAATTTTTCATTCAGGCCATCCGTTCGGGTAATAGCTTTGCCCTGGGCGCATCTGGAGAGGGAGATGAAGAGCAGCTGGGGCAGAGGCGGGAGAAGGCATGCGGCAGGGGGTATGCCAAAGACACATGCGTGTGCAAGCCATGCGTGTGCCCGGCTGCTGCACCACGTGCACAGACACACTTGGGCATGGGCTTCTTGAGGTCACAGATCCCGGAGGAGGTAGCATTTGACTTGGTCCTACAAGGATGAGTGAGTGGGCAGTGACGGAGGCTCCGGGTTCCTGGGGTGGGGGAAGCCTGTGGGAAGAAGATGGCTGGAGCCAGGTGGGCAGGAAGGAAAAGAGTGGGGCCTTCTCTCTGTTGGCCTCGGGGAGCCGCTCAGCAGAGAAGAAGCACTGTGAGACGTGTGGTTTAGACAGCATTCGGGAAGCTGTGTGGATGGTACCAGGGACCAGGTAGGGGCTGTACAGTGAGAGTTTCCCTAGTGGGAAACAACAGGCCCAGGCTGTGGCCATGGGGATGAGAGAGTAGAGGAAACAAACTCACCAGAATTTGTGTATGCATCTCCCTGGGACCTGGGGCCCTCAGAGAAGCCCATTTCCGAGGCCCTCATACCAAGGAGCAGTTTCATGTGGTTGGTTCCATAGTCACAAAACAAACCAGTGAGCTCCCCTCCCTTCTCCTTCTGGGGATATTGCTGAGGGTGGGGAGGGGAGCCCAGGGTATGGCTTTGACCTGACTAAAGAAGCCAAAGGAGGCAGCATCTCTCCTGGGGCTGGGGATGTCAGAAGGAGAGTGTCCAGGCCACTTCCAGGAGCAGGACAGGGAGGCCACTGGGGTGTAGGATGTCTGTTTCAGTTCCCATTTCTGCTGAGTCCTGGGCTCATCCCTTGGGGATTATCACTGGGGGGTGAAGGTAACAGTCTTCCCGTTAGGCCGGGAGTTCTTCAGACCAAGGTTGGTGGGGCTTCAGAGTCCATCTGGAAGGAAGTGGGTGTGTGAGCCTGCGAGTGTGCGTGCCCGAGCGTGAGTGTGGGTGTGTGCCTCTGAGCGTGCGAGCGTGCACCGGCAACCAGGCGAGCGACTGCGTGCTGAATGTGTGAACGGGAGCCCATGGCTGTGCTGTGGGCCTTTCTCCAGGCCGGCAAATGGCAGTGTGCTGGGGAGTCTGAGAAGGCAGCTGCCTCTGCGCCCCTGGGAGGATTCGCTTCTCCTCCAGCTTGACTGAGGTCTTGCCCGATGGTCTGACGCGACTCACAGCTGCTGCAGCTGCAGGAGGAAGAGAAAGGCTTTCCAGAGTTTGACCTCAGGCCTCCCACTCTCCCTGTGGCCGGCTGCACTGCACACTGGGAGGTGTAGTTCTCGCAGCTTCCCGGCCTAATCTTCTGATGTCAGACCATTTCCTGCCTGCCTGAGGGAGCACCAGGCCTTGGTTTTAGAAGCAAGCCCAAACATTCTCTTTGACCCCAAACCTCCTGCAGATCCTGGATCCAGACTGTAAACCCTAACCTCTCCACCTCAGATCCATGCAGAGTCCCCATTGCCCCAGGGTCCCTGCCACTCCCGGATCCCAGAGCGGAGGCTGCAGCCCTTCAGGAATGGGGGCCGAGCTGCCCCCTTTGTAAGAGGATGTGAGGGAGGCCGGCCAGGCCCCTCCCCAGCAAGTGCAAATGACCCCACGGCCCAGCTCTTTTCTCCCTTGCCAGCTGCAGCCCTTGAGGCTCTGCTCCTGGCACAAAGACAAGAGCTACTGGCTGAATGTGACAGCTGGAGGGACAGAGGGGGCAGGGGGATGCTCCATTCCACACCAAATGGCCCCCTCTTCTCTGCTTGTGAATGAACTGGAACCCCGTAACTACTCCTTTCTTCTGCACCCTCACTTAGCATCTTCACTCTGAAGTCTGCAGAGCTGGAAGGTCGTCTTAGCCATCCTTCTGCCTGTAGACAGGCCGTAAAGTAGCCAGAATAACCAGGGTTCCCTTTGGTCCCAAAAGATCCCCAGGGAAGTGTAAACCTCCTTAGAATTTAGGGAAAAAAAGTTAAACAGAAGGGCCTAGAAGGGAACGAGACCCAGTATCATCTGTCCCCAAGCCACCGCTGCACTCTTCTTGTCCCAGCTCCGGTGAAATGAGGTCCCCAAGTGCACCCCACACAGGCATTTACCTAAGTGTCTCCTAAATACTTGTGCAGCCTAGAGCAAGGCTCACCTCTCAGACGTAGATAGCCTTGCCTTTTTATAGAATTCATTCAACAAATATTCTTGAACTCCAG